TGCTGTTTTCAGTACGTGGGTTAATTCATGTTCAAGATCAGTGATTCTCAAAGCGTGTTATGAGTTCAACCAGTGCTACACGGAAGAAATGCTAAATTGAATACAATTAAAAATAACATTTAAAACATGAAATGCAGTCAACAGCTCATGAAAACCTTTTTTTACAGAATTTTTTTTCATTTCGGTGATTATGCTCATACTTCATGACATTGAATGATTCAAATGCATGTTTTTGCATGCATCTTGTTATTAAACCCCCATTGCAAAATCTGCCTGTTCACAGGTTACAGAATTAAAGTTTGTCATTATAAAATGGCGGGGGGGGAAACACACAAGTGGTATTACAAGCAGTCATGATGCTTCCCTTGTAAAGCACCATTCAATTGCCAATGATGATGATGATGATGATGGTTATCATTAGCACTAGTAGTGGTGAAATTCCATTTTGAAAATGAATCTGATTTACGATGGGGGTTCTGCAGCTGAAGTGCCATTTTGAGATGTTTATCACATTGGTAGTCAAGGAAATGTATTAATTTAGGGGAGAAAAAAAGAAATCTGGTCCTATTTCATTTTACGTAAGGTCTAAGGATCAAGATGACATTCTGAGCCAATGTCATGCTTTTGTTGTCATGTTAGAATGTTTAATTTAGCCGCACTTTTCAGCGCTTTACTACAGAGTAACATTAACTGGCAAATAAATATCAACTAATTGTAATCAATGGGCTCTGTGATGTATAGCGCTTGACTAGTTGTACAACTGTATGTTGAATTAGCATGTTGCCCTGTCCCTTGAACGTAACGCTCTGACACCCAGCAGGTGGTGGTGAATGTCTTGTGTGTCCTCCAGGTTCCGGGGCCCACCCCCTGGCCGTAGACCCCCTGGCGGCCGGACCGCACCTGGCTCGCTTCCCTTACCCGCCTGCCGCCATCCCCAACCCGCTCCTCGGCCAGCCGCCGCACGAACACGAGATGCTGCGCCACCCGGTCTTCGGTAGGCACCCGGCCGGTCTCATCTCTCATTGGGGTTGCAAAGCGGGAACGTTTCTGGTTAGATGTCCATGGCGAGGTGAGCTTGGGGAATTTGGGAAATAATAAGCACAGATGTCAAAACATCCATCCAAAATAACACAATTTAAGAAGCATGAAATGAAGTAGAACTATGTCCTGTTTTTAACTCCTTCACTCCCAAAGACGTTTTTAAACGTCTTTTCAGACTTGGTCTAGAATTGGCTGGTACTGAATGAGTTAAATTCAAAAAAATAAACAAATGCTCCACCTTCTATCCACAAATAGGTCGTATTCAAAATGTAATTCCCGTGGAAAGTTTCCCCAAAAACTCCTGCAGTTTTGCAACCCTAATTAACAGTGGAATTGTACAAAATTGATCTTATCGGGGGAGGCTGAATTATTTGCTTTGCACAGGAGCACCGTACCCTCGGGACCTACCCGGAGGTCTGCCGCCGCCCATGTCGGCGGCCCACCAGCTGCAGGCCATGCACGCCCAGTCGGCCGAACTCCAGAGGCTGGCCATGGAGCAGCAGTGGCTGCACGGCCACCATCACATGCACGGAGGCCCGCTGCCCGGCCAGGAGGACTACTACAGGTCAGACCCGGCGCCGCCCGCACCTCCGGCACCGCCGCGGGTCGTTGTCGCGACGTTGATACAATCGTAGATTCGTTCCTGGACATTCACTGTATGTCTCAAATCATGCTGACTTGCTTAATCTTGACTTGTGACTGATCCAGACTTATCATGTGATTTTACAGAAAATCATCTTTAAGCTGATCCGAGATAATTAAATAACTCATTTCCAACTCATAAAGGTTATCTCACAAGAACGTCCAAACAACACAAGGAGGTTTAACGCATGTCTTGTGCTTCCCCCCCCCCCCCCTTCAGCCGACTGAAGAAAGAGAGCGACAAACAGCTGTAACTGGCCGAAGGAGGCGACAGGAAGTTGTGAAGAACACAAAAAGGCCAAGTGGATCCAATTTTTCTTTGTTTTTCCAACCCCCCCAAGACATTTTCTTTGGTATATAGCCAGTAAAAGTGACACAACATCCTGAAGACTCCTGCATGACAAGCTTCCCTGACATTTCTTTTTGTAGGTGCTAGAAGAACACTGTGCTTACCCCCCCCCCCAAAAAAAAAAAAACGTGGCCGCTTATGGAAAATAACAAGTGCTATCTTAAATTCAACATTTATTTTAATACATCGTTGGAGCTTTTTTTTTTTTTTTTTAATCATTTTAGGAAGAGCTACCGCATGGAGTTTTTCCCCTTTTTTGGAATTTGTAAATAGTATATATAAACATATAATTATTATAATTATTATTATTACTAGGTGTGGACAAACAAGTCGTTTCAACCTCCGCTGCAGTTGTGTTGATGCATTATCCCTTGTTTCAGAGGGGAGCAACATGGCATTATTCTTATGATTTGAGCCATTTGATTTGTGACCTTGGTCTGACATTGCCGTGTTAGATTTAGTCCCACGTAGCCCATGTGATAACCCCCCCCCCCAACCCCGAACCCCTGTCGCACCCACTCATCACACACCAGCTTTTTTCAGAATGTGTCGACGCGGCCTGTTGACTTTGTGACTTGAAACACTTGAAGCTTCCCTTCATCCATGACGACGACGAAAATTGATTGCACTGAAATTTCTTTTTATCCTCTGCCGTCATTATTTAACGACAAAACAAGTCATATAAAATGACCTGTTTTTCCCCCCATCCCAACAATTTGGACAGTGCCAGAAGTCTTTTTTTTTGTTTGTTTGTTTTTAATGCTAGGTGAATATGATACATCATCACAGGAGCCCTACGGGACCTTTTTAGTGGTGGCATCCTCTCCCATCATGTTCACTGTGGCCTGCCGACGTGCGACCACCGGGAAGCGTGCTTGTGCGCACGTTTGTGGGAATGTGTGTGTGTGTGTGTGTGTGTGTGTGTGTGTGTGTGTGTGTGTGTGTGTGTGTGTGTGTGTGTGTGTCGCACCAGCGTGCGCTTCACGTTTTCCAACGGACACTGTTTGACTTGTCATGGATTTTAACAAAACTGGCTTATTCCTTGTTTTTTATAATTTTTGTTTTGCCAAATGAAGAAACTGTACTCGCATTTTTAAATGACCATGTCATACTTCCTCGGAGCACTATTTTTATGTTGTTTTGCAAGTGGAAAGTCTTCTGACCTTCCATTTTCTGACGCACTCTTCATCCTCCCGTCCGTCCCCCGAGCGTCCTCCTTTGCCTTTCCCGCCCCCCCCCCCCTTTTTTTGTGTCTCCAAACCTTTGGTGTTCAGTGTTGTCAATGGTTTAGCTTCTCGTTTCAAAAGCGGCAGCAGCAGAATGTCCGTTCTGACTGCCAAGATTTCTATATATACTGGTATCTTGAAGCTTATTGTACATATGAGTAGTCGCAAATGGGATGACACAATGTAAACAAAAAGTAGAAAGAATAAGAAAAAAATGTGAGTCCTGTGTTCTCTCCATTTGAGTATTTTGTAATTTTTTTGAAAAATTTGTGGAATTAAAATAAACGACTAAGTTACACCACAATCTATGACTTGAATTTGAATTCGTCTTCATTTGGTTTTTTTTTTTATAAAAACTTGTACACCACAGTGACGTTTTTATTGATGATCAGAACATTGGTCACAGTTTTATTTAGGATTTTTCATTTTATGAGTGAGAGTGACAACAATTTTTGACACATGTGGTCAGGCCCGGCCATCCGAGCTTCGTCCATTCTGCCCTCATCGGCTGAGCTGGAGTCTTTCCCAAAGTAAGAAAGCAGTGTTTTGAATGTGTTCACAAGAAAATATTCCCAATAAATAGAGACACCCATGCACTCATTTTCTTTGAAACTGCAGAAAACATCCACACACAGCTGGAGCTGAGATTCAGAGTACGAAAATGTGATCCAATCCGTGACCTCTCAACTGTGAGGTATATGTGTTAGGTTGCTGCTGCAACAACAATGGTGGTGCTTTGATCCGACATAGAAGTGTCGCTGTAGAATTACCTCAGTTGGCTATGAGCACTCATTTCTGTTACGCGCTCACGTTAGACCGGGCTGCTAAATTCCAGTCCAGTGGTAACTTGACCTGTGAGTGCCCCACCTTAGCAGCTATCCAAGTTAGGAGCCGTTTTTTTTTTTCACTTTTTCTATGAGCCAAAATTTGGTTTATGAGCATTCTTCACATCAGCTACCCCTAAAGTGAATTGAAAAAGCAGAGCAAGATCAACTTTCAGCCTGTTATTGAACGTGTCAAACAGACACAAAATGAAAACACTTGCAAGGAGTATTGAGATGACCACACTGAACTCAGCAGGTGGTAAACGGCCAATAAGACTGGTTGCAGGCTCCTAAAGTTGATCATTAGGCCACGGCCCCTAAAGGCAACTGTGTATGTGTGTTTGACTTTGAGATAGGTACACTTTATTTAACCGATTTGTTGCTGTCTGTCATCTTTAATCATATATATATATTTTTTTTTATTTGGCTTTTTTTCTTCATGATACAGCTGTTGTTGGTGGGGCTGGAAGACACATTTTTATTCATTTTTGAGCTTGGTCACTAAACGAATTAACATTCTAGGTCAAATAATTGAGTCACCATTGTATAATAACACTAAACCGTTTTGAGGGTAAAGCATTTTTTAAGTTTCTTGACAATTATTATGCCAAGTCTCTTTTGGTTCTACTCAATTTAAACATTTGAATCGAATTTTTATTTTATTTTTTGCACTGTGGGGAACATATTGGAGTGCGGATCAAGCACAAGCATGTCTGTTTTCTTTTTCCTTCACCGGGTCTGAGCTTTAGAAGATGAGCTCTCAGCAGCAGGTAGCAAATCTGCGAGCTGGATATCATACACTGCTGTGGCATAATAACGTCAAAGCCAGGCTCATTCGAAAAGAACACCTCCTCTCTATCACAACGGGGAGTGATGGATGGACCCGCAATCTCTAATGCTATGCTTTTTTTTTTTTTTGCATCTATGCTTTTACTCCCGCTCTGAAATGATATGCTACCCGTCTTTCCTCAAGCAAATGGAGGTTGGCTGCCCTCTTCTCGTGGTGAGGAGGTGCTGCTCGGTGTTGCCTCTTCAGCTCCACATGACAACACGCCGTCAGGGCTAAGCACTGGCTGGTTGAATAATTCATCCCCCCCACCCCTGCGCCTCTTCCACGTCGGGGATGGAGTGACTGTGACTCGTGTCAAGTCAAATCCCTCTCATGATGCTGTGCGTACCCCTCAGGCGGGCGCGCGGGAGATGCGTCATTTCTACATACATACACACACCAAAACAAGAAAATCTGCTGGTTGTATCCGAACAGCAATATCATCCCCGTGTCTTTCCTGCAGTTTGTGCCGCTCGGAAATGCCGCCGTGTTCTTTAGCAGGTAGTCGCCGCCATGTTTGTCTAACAGTGATGTTGACACAGAGGAGGAACCGTGCCTCTGCTGTTTGTCTCAGCTACATAACAACACAAACAGCAAGTCACCGCTCATTTAGAGGTCATCCTATTTAGGCCGTCTCCCCCCCACCCCCCGAGACTGGTGCAACCGCTTTTGCAAATGTGGGAGCGTGGCGGTTATGTAAAACCGCAGCTGCAGAAATGTGACGCTCGCAAGTCATGGTAATTAAACACATCATCCATGCAAATGGCGGGTACACCAAAATATGCTAACGTCCTTTTTTTCCTGGAATGAGACTTAGTATGTGTGTTTCAGCAGTCCGGCAGGAAACAAGCGTTTATATTTCAAGCAAAGGTTAACGTGAGGTTTTCCAGTAAAAGTGATAACTACACCAGGGAGGCTGCAGGACGGTAAAACGCTTAAATTGCTAAGTTGCATTGTGCTGTGGATCACATACCCTGCAGAGTCAGTGTAATGTTTTGGTAAGGAAGGGAGTGGCGGGCATGTTTCACTCTGGCCATGGAACCAAATGTCATGTCTTAAAAGTAAATGATAAACTTTTAGCCCAGAATTGAGCCAGACGTGTCTTTGTTGGGTCAACCTCATCTTACATGTCTTCCCCTAGCTCCTCCTTTAGCTGCTTATCCGATTCTGCTCTTTCTTGCCTTCATCATACAAAACATCTTCCGGAGTTCAAATCCACCATGATAGATGCGGATATAACGTCTATCAGGTTGGATTTGAACTCAGTTGTATCTTTCATTATTGTGAAAGTGCTTGTCAAGTTCTTTGCTCTTCCTGCTCCTCTTCCTTCGAGTTTTCCTCCAGTTTTTTTCTGTCAGCATCTTCTTCCGGCTATGCCTGCTGTTTCGTCTCCAGGTTTTCGTTCAGTTCTTCGTACTCCTCCTCATCCATAGCTCTTCCTCCTGGTCTTCCTTCAGCTCTCCCCACAGACCTCCCTGCAGCTCTGTGTCCAGGTTTTGCTTTCAGTTCTTGCTCTCTCTCTCTCTCTCTCTCTCCCTCTCTCTCTCTCTGTCTCTCTCTCTCTCTCTCTCGCTCTGTTCTTCCAATCCTTCTTCAAGCTCTTTCTCTTGCTCTTCCATCCATGCATCCATCCATTTTCCGAGCCGCTTTATCCTCACAAGGGTCGCGGGGCATGCTGGAGCCTATCCCAGCCATCTTCGGGCAGTAGGCGTGGGGGCACCCTGAACCGGTCGCCAACCAACTGCAGGGCACACACAGACAAACAACCATCCACGCTCACACTCACATCTAGGGACAATTTAGAGTGTTCAATCAGCCTGCCATGCATGTTTTTGGAATGTGGGAGGAAACCGGAGTACCCGGAGAAAACCCACCCTGGCCCGGGAAGAACATGCAAACTCCACACAGGAAGGCCTGAGCTGGAATCGAACCAGGTACCTCTGCACTGTGAGGTCGACGCGCTAACCACTGGACCACCGACTTTAAGATGCAGCAAATTGCTGGTGAACTGAAGTGCAATTCAAGCTGCTATCGGGGGCCACAGTTCATTCTTTATGGATTCAATATTGGTTATAAATAGCCAAGCTCTTACCCACTTAACCCACTTAAAAAGTGCATGTATTTTCTAACCGCGTACCCATTTTGATTAGCCATTACAGTCATTCCTTTGCAATGTAATAACGCACGCTTGTGTGCACGGTGCATTTAGGTTTGTCTGTGACTGCGTTTGCAAGACTGCCTGCTATGTGTTTGGACCTGGTCTACGGCTTTTACACGTTAAATGATATCCTGCTCCCACATTCCCATCATAGCCGGTATCCTCACCCGCGTGTTAACCGAATGTGGCCGCTACCACACCAGGTTTCTTGCATTCCTCCTCCAGCATACCTCGCGCACTCCCACACACTCGTCTTCCTCCTCGTCTTTCTCCTCTTCCTCTTTGCTGGTTGAGCTCGGAGGGAAGAGACTGCAAACGAAGCAGACACCAGTTTTAGTTCAATAAAGCGTAGCGAGTTGGCAGCGGACGAGACTTGCAGGCTCCTCTTTAATGCGTTGTCATAAAACAGGCTGCTGGCCGCAAGTTCACATTCAATGAGGCCTGGGCGGAGCATCCTCCTGAATGTTTGTGCACGGAAATCCTTCCTTCACAGAGCACCATTCCCGTATAAAGTTAGTTCACCACGAGATATTAAAAGATATCAATTGTTACTTCAACCACAGTAATCAAGATGGAGTCTCTCATCATGCATTGAGTTTCATACCTGCGGTGGGAGCTTCGTCAAGGCCGCTTGTCACAAATAAATCAGAGCCTGTAAATATCTTCTTGCCCTCCGCAATTTCCTCAGCTCACTCCATCTGCGGTCTTTCAGTCGCCCGCCGCTTTGAAAATAATATCAACTCGAGTACGGTGACACACCTGGGGGGGTTGTCAGGGGCATGGTAAATGGGGGGGCTGCAGCAGACACAATGAGCCTCCCTCCTGATGTTGTTTGTGCAAATGGCCGCGCACGCGTGAGATAAATTGCGCTGGCCAAACATTTAGCCGCTGCAGCGAGAGGCTGTCCACTTGTTGTGACTCAGATGGATTGGCCATTGTTTTTTCCCCTCTTCACTTCCACAGTGTAATTTATCTCCCATGGGAGTCTGTGGAGGACAGTGTGTCTGTGGAATGCTACCTGATAAACCCACCAGCGAGCCCACGGAGAAAAGTTCATGTGGGCACCAAAAGAAGATATTTGAGTCTATTTAGACCGTTTTAAGACTCATTTTAACTTCACTGCAGCATAACTAACTGGTGCAAATTTTATATAATTATAACGTGGGTCGCTGATGGTGTCGTGGTACACTCGCCTGACTTGTGTGCGGGCAGCGTGGAATCGGTTTCCGCCCAGTGACAATGTTTATGTGGGTGTGAATGGCCATTTGTCTTGATGTGCTCTGCGACTGACTGGCGACCAGTATGGGGTGCAGCTGGGACAGGCTCTAGCAGCTCCCTGCAAATCCCTCTTCAGGATAAGCGGTGTTGAAAATGGATGGATGGATTCTTATGTGCAGGTCTGTCGGAATGCATGCTAGTATCCTTTAAACTGGATAAATATATCGTATATTATCCTAAGGCCTCATAGCTCAGTGGTTAGAGCACTGGTCTTGTAAAACAGGGATCGTGAGTTCAATTCTCACAATCGCATATAACTCACTTCCTATCAGTAGGAAAAACAAGAGGGGCGGTCCGGTGGTCCAATGGTTGGCGTGTCAACCTCACAGTGCAGAAGTGCCAGGTTCAATTCCAGCTCCAACCTCCCTGTGTGGAGTTTGCATGTTCTTCCCGGGCCTGGGTGGGTTTTCTCCGGGTAATCCGGTTTCCTCCCACATTCCAAAAAAACATACATGGAAGGCTGATTGAACACTCGAAATTGTCCCAAGGTGTGAGCGCGGATGGTTGTTTGTCTCTGTGTGATGGATGGACATCTTTCGATCAGCTTTTTCAGACAGAAAAGTGAACAAGAGAGGACCACCATTCAGCTGTCAGCCCAACGACTCCAATTCTTTCCTGCAAGCTTGGGATAGACCAATTCTTTTTCAATAAAAAAAAGATGAAAACGGCACCACGTGTCTGATTTGGTTCCATTTTACTTTTACAAAATGCAGACCTTATAAATAAATACAAACACAGTGTAAGTCATATAAGTAACAAAACTATTTAGTGTAGAAATAAAATATATATTAAGAAATAAATAAACTTAAAGAAGCACCAGGAACCAAAACCCTCTGCAACTGACAAGACACTGTGACAGCCATCACAATCCACCAAAGACTGAACAGAACCAGGGAACTAAATGCAAGCCAACCGCTGTGACAGACAACGAGGAACATGGCAGGATATGAGTGGCTGAGGGAGCTGATTGGCATCAGGGACCAAGTTGACGAGAACAGGTGGACACAAAAACCTAACGAGCAACACAGACCACAAGAAACCAAGCCGTAACAAGAAAACAACCTAAATATCATGAAGACAACTGCCAATCATGACAGAAATACAGCTGAGCTATCCATAATAAATCTCCTGCACTGGATTAGAGCAAAATTCGTCAGACCCGTAAAAATTTAGTACAGTTTGAACATTTAATTCAACGATTTTTGCGCACCACTCGTGGTACTCATACCACTGTTGGAGAATCACTAAACGAGAACCTTCAATGAACCTTACCATGCATGTTTTGGAATGCGGCAGCATGCGGTCGTGCCTGAAGAAAAGCCACCCAAGCACAGGGAGAAAACGCAAACCGCGCACAGGAACAATGGAGCCAAGATTCAAACCCACAACCTCAGAACTGCGCAGCGCACACGCGCCACCCAAACGACGCTGCCCTGAACACATCATGGACTTGGTTGCAAGTTTCCAGACGGCTGCTTTCACGAACAAAAAAATGGCTTCACTGTCAGAACCCAGACCCAAAACAAATTGCCGCACTTCGGGAGTTGCTCCTGCATCGACTGAAAGCTGATCGACTCATACCGCGAAAAGACGACAAAAGGTATGTTTACTTTCTGTATCCATGGTGATGAAAGTGCTTTGGTCTGCGGGAATGCATGCATATACTGTATAAGATACACTTTATGATCCCGAGGCATTGCGCAACTCGCACACTGAGCATTCAGTGTGTGATGCATGGAAATCCCAATACAACACATTGACTAGTTTGACATATGTCAACTAGCTCCAATATGTTCCTGTAGCACATTGCTCTCCAGCAGCCTGGAGGTGTTATGGTAGATGGTTTCTCCCAACAGTCCCTCCACCCCCAACCCTTCTGCCTCCCTTCCCCTCTCCCTGTAAAGCCCTCCAGTCCAGTCGCTGGCTGCAGATTTAATGGATTTAGCAGCTGTTGAGGAAACGGCGAGGGTTTGCGGCATATGCTTTGCTTACAACAAAGAACGGACACATGGACGCGCACACACCGCATAAACTGTGCTGCCACAGAAGCTGCAGTCGTCCATTTAACTGGCTTACAAATTGCACTCCTGCAGTTGAATGTTTCTTGTCTGTATGTAGTGCATTCTTACCTACTGTAGGTGCACGATTTTTATTAATTAATATATTTTTGCATCCTAATAGGTACTCATGGAATGGGTAACATATGGTCCTGACCGACTCTGTTATTTAATCCAGCCCACAGAGTGGTTACAGAATCAAGTGATTATACGACTGGTCAACAGGTATTTATTTATTTATTTCATTCAGAGACGCTAGAAAACATTTTCCTGAGGAATATTTTGCACGGATTCCAAATCTGCGCTAATGTTTTTCCTACCACACCAGGTTTTGTCATAATGATAATAATACACGCCTATAATGTAATATGTCAGGTAACATTTATGAATTAAGGGTGATTTTTTTGGACCAGGTGGAATTTTTTTCCCCTCAATTCTCATGGTTGTAAATTACAAAATGAGAGAAACTTTGGCTTACTTAAATTTAAAAACAAAAAAATTGAAAATATTCCAAAAACCTGACGTGAGTAAAGATATGCTTTAAATCACTGGAAAAAAATCGAATCGTTTATCTTCGTTCTTAACGATGGTCGGGACATACAGTTGAGACAGGCAGAACAATTAAATAGTCTTCCACTTGGTGGAAGAAGGTAGTACACGTGTTGCCATTTAGACAACGTCGTGTGTGTGTGTGTGTGTGTGTGTGTGTGTGTGTGTGTGTGGGGGGGGGGTTTGTTGGTGGCGGGGTGGGGGGGGGGGGGGGTGCTAAAGCGTTGACACCGCACTGAATGCTGTGCAGTTGGTTGGCAATTTGTGAGGGAGTGATTTGACGTTGGAATCAGTTACAAGGTCTGAAAGGAGGAGGTAAATATATGAAATATCTCTTCATTTGCTAATTCTCCAATGCAGTTTGTAGATGAAAACTCAAGCCCTCTCTCTGCCCATCTTGAAAACCTGTCTTATTCTTTTGCTTTTGACTCAGCATGAGACTTGATTTAAGTTTTACCGTTTGTATGCTTTTACTGTGTTCATTATTCATGATGATTGTTTTATCCTAATCATTTCTGCTTGAACATTTGTTGTTGTGCGACTTATTTTTTTGCTCCGTGCGATGGTTGTTTTAAAGTGCTCTGTAAATACAGTTGCGTTGAGTTGAGAATTTTAACCCATCCATCCTTTTTCTAATTTGCTGATCCTCACAAGGGTTGTGGGCGTGCTGGAGTTTATCCCAGCTGTCTTCGGATCATAGGTGAGGTACACCCTGAAGTGGTTGCCAGCCAAGCGCGGGGCAAACATAGACGATCACACCTTCCATTCTTCTTCTTCTTCTACCACGCATGTTTTTGGAATGTGGGAGGAAACGGGAGTACTCGGAGAAAACCCACGCAGGCACGGGCAGAACATGTAAACCACACAGGCAAGCTGGACTCTACACCTCTGCACTGTGAGGCGGACATGCTAACCAGTTGTACATCGTATTAATTTAAAATGGGCTAGTATTTTATATGTATATATAAAATCTATCTATCTATCTATCTATCTATCTATCTATCTATCTATCTATCTATCTATCTATCTATCTATCTA